AATCTGCCTGAAGCACGGAGCACCCCTACTAGAGTCCGCATACAAGGGCAAGCGCTTCCGCCAAGCTTAAGTAGTATTTTACCTATGCGTGAGGCACGCCTACAGACGTCGCGATACATCGATTCATTCGGTAACCGAGCGTTGGTCGAACTGCTTCTCTCGTTTTCGTGTTAAAAACTTAAAAATGCCGTACTGTGCAATTAAATTGTGTGGAAAGTCGAGTGCAACTTCCAGTCTTCAAAAAGATGGTATTACTTTTCACTGGTTAGTTTAAATGCATTACAAAAAGACAAAAATACTGTTATATGAAATTTCTGTTAATTGTATTTATTTTTTGGTGAACGCGTTCATGTCTTTTTACTTTATCCCTTTCTCGCATGCACTACATCATATATGCTATCCCGCTCTCACACCGACACGTGTATTGCTAATGACGCAGACGCAGCTCATGTCTCAACCCGTAAGTTTATCGATAAGTTTGTCAGCTATGGAAATGGAAAAAATAAATAAAAACTATTTATTTCATCGTATACAATAACAGATGTCATGAGTCTACAACCAACAGTTTTTATTTGACTTCAAACATATCCTACTAAAATTTGAAAAACGCGAGAATTTGTATGGATATTTGTTACTCTTTCACGCTAAAACGGTTAAACGGATTTGTATGAAATTAAGTGCTCATAGTTTATGACCTAGATAAAGACATAGAATTAACGATATTTAAATACCCTAGATACACCACAAGCGCTCAAAATGTATCCCAATCAAAAAGTGCTTGAACTCCACTCAGGCACTTCTTAGTTCACAGTCACGCGCGGACCGTTGAAAAGTCAACATGCCGAAGAGCACTTACGAACTTGCATTTCGAACTGTCATAAGTCTTTCATGCATGCATTTTAATTAATACCTTATGCAGTATGCTATAAAGGTGACTTTCAATGTTTAAGCAATGCATTATATTGTTTTTGACCATGCGATCACGCGACCTCCGTGGTTCGTCTAATGTACCTTTTGGACACGTTTCGGCCACGATTTTGTTCGTGTTGTTGTATCTAGGGTATTTAATATCGCCGCATAGAATACTTTTTGTCCTGGACGTGTTTTTTTTGTTTCATATATAATTTAGTATGTAGTTACTAGTCGCGTCATGTAATTAGAACGCTGGAAGAAAGTGGAGAGGGTATGTTTGCGCATTTGCTTACATTCGAGGCACCAAAGTACTAGGCCGCTATACTAATTTGTTTATCGATCGAAAATATCGATATTTTCTAAAATCGATCTTACCCTCATCACTTCGCTGCACTGAGTATATGATCTGACCTTGACGCGTCCAATCACAACGGGGCAGACGCAGACCTCCCTTCACGCCACCGACTTTGGCGATTTTGGATCCAAACAAAATTTGTGTGATGCGGACTCTAGTGAGGGTGCTCCATGGCCTGAAGTTACAAATTTACTCAATTTACGATTTTGAGACCAAAAAAGGCATTGTTTACATTGCACATTTTTAGATTACATTGACATTGTAAATAGGTTATATTGTAGTACGACCATTTCTTTTGATACGTTATTATGGTTCAACTCGGTCAGGTTTTCTACCAATTTTGAATTAATTGCTTCATGTCAATAAGTTATTGTTTCTATTCCGTTACATTTTTTTTCTTTTTTGCAGGAAAATCAGAGAGTCGGATAGTCAACGAAGGTTTTAAGAATGATGGAAAGTTTGAAACTCCTGGGAAAACGGGCAAGGCCGACCAAAGAAATGGTCACATAAAGAACCATGGCCAGATGCTTTTAGTGAAGATATCTATCACTAATTTTATTTACTGCACATTTACAAATTGTTTCTCTAAATAAACTTTTTATATACTATAAAATGATTTTTAGTATTATTTTCTTAACAAGTGTGTTAAAAACGTCGTATGATGATAATTGTGTGTATTGATAACGGCTACTAATATTACCTAATGGCTCTGGTCTCAATGGCACCTCAGCGGTAATCACCAACATTACACACTTTTACACTATAAAGTACTATTTTATCTATAATAATTTTATTCTGATTCAATTAAATATGCTTGGCTAAACTTTTTATAAGCATTGGTACCTACTATATTTATATAAAACATAAACAAAATACGACTGTATAGTGTGTCTTATTTATTACCTATTTAACTTGAATGAACTGCTAGTATCAAAATCATTTTGGTCCGACTGTATAGGGTTGCTACATGCATACTAGTGGCGCCATCATTTAATGTCACGACTTTATAGACAAACTGTAAACATGGCTTACTCAAAGGGTACAGCCAGAGTGCACTCAGATTCAGACTCAGAAAACAAGCGCGAGAAATAAACAGTGTAGTTAAAGCAGAGTGGCCATAGTGGCAGCTGGCAACCTGCTTAAACTACACTGTATATTTCTCGCGCTTGTTTTCTGAGTGCACTCTGGCCGTACCCTTAGGCCCTAATGAAGTGAACAGATAGTTCATATTGTTTATTTTTGACTTTTTATTTCAGTAAAAGTGTTTTTAGTTTTTTAAACTAGGTACCTTTTAATTTATTTTACTCTTTTTAGATTTTACCCCGATGACTGCGGGAAAAATGAACAGAACACGTTAAGACGAATCTAAAGAGTCCAAACTCGATATTGTACTACTCGATGATTAAAGGTTTTTCATTTCATTTCTTATGTTTACTAGTTCCATCCGCCACCTTCCAGTCCCATCATCAGACCAGCTCGACGGTACCATAATATTGTATTGACATCTAATCTGCATATAATTGCCAAGTTTTATTATGTTAAGACGAATCTCATAAGCACAGCACATAAAATACTTTTACTGTTAGATGCACTATTTTTACATTGGTATAGTTATATTTTTACATTGCTAACGCGAAAAGCTCATTTCCTATGAGAACTATTGTGGGTACGCCAGGTTGACGCCAGCTAAGATTGTTTAGTTCAATGTATTTGGTCCTTAGGAGTATTGATTATGAAATTTTGTAAAGCCTATTAGCGAACTATTTTTGTGAGTCAATTTCGTTGCTTAAATATATGCCGTTCTTGGGGACGGCCATGGGTACGCCAGCTTGACGTCATGCAAGCGTACACAGTAAATATGGTCTTTAAGTCTTAAATTAAAGCACTTTTTTTCATTTTTACACTCATTTGCAAGGGCGGATCCAGTCATGGGGGGCAGGGTACAGATGGACCAAACCCAGGGGGATTTTATTTAAGTACTTACAATATTTAATATACCACGACTATATGACCCCCCCTGGCGCCAAAGCTGGATCCCTTGCTCATTTGGGACTATTTAATTGCATGACGAAAAACCGTATATTGATCGTGTGTACACTAGCATCACGGACACATCAAACTTGATGTACATTTTTTTTAACTTTACTACAATTTTCTACATTTTCTTTTCTATAAGTCATATTCTTTGTATATGGACGGGTCTTGCCAGGGAGTATCACACCAAAATTACTTCGAACATGCAACACACAGAGGTCTTGAAATATTGTTATTCACACCAGTCTACAGTATACGAAACCTACGTTTTCCACTGTGGCCTTAGATTAAAACAAAAAGGGTAGATACGGTACGCTCTTACTTGCATCAAACAAAAAGTGATCCCACTTTACTACATATGCAACACTCACACATCCACCTGTTTGTAAAGATACAATCGAACGAACGAAACAGCAATATAAGTTTCAACGGCAGCGCGAACGAGACGGCGAGATCCGCGTCACTGCCCTACCGACCAATCACGCGACCAGTACTCGACGTCACTACAGAGTAGCGTCAGAGAAAAAAATAAAAGTATTTTTTATTAAATATAAGTTTTTTATTAAAATTCAATAAAAAAAATCCACATTGAGCAATTTTTAATCTACTTTGAAAAGCTGAGGGAATGAAACTGTTTACAAGTATACCTACTAAAAGTAGGTTTTTTACATGATAACGTCAACATTTTTTTAAGGTATCTTATACTGCTGGATGTGGTCATTTTTATTGTATTCAATGTTTAAAAGAATCTAATCGAGATACAATTTTTACTAGAAACTTTACACTTATTATATTTCAATACCAATCATAAAGTGATTGTTCAATAAATAAAAAATGGTTGCCTGTAAAGTCGGTTTTACGGGCGAAGATTTTACGTGACAACGTCTTTTTCTCGGTAGAATATTTATTGATATGAATATAATTAAATTGCACAATAGGAACAAGGAATTGAATGAAAATAAGAATTGCACAAATTTTAACTATAGAAATATATTTTGTTTACTAAAACATTGTACATGTAAACTTAAACTTAACACGAGAGACTCATCGTAACGTTACCGAGCGTTACACTTTTTCATAAGTGACTCCCAGCCGCAACCTAATTTAAGACGTTGTCACGTCAAAAAAAACTAAAATAATATTAAAAAACTAAAATAATATTAAAAAAGTTAAAATCAGACACACATTATTTTATCATCTGATAAAAAATCAGTTAACAAGCGTACCTACTAAAAGTAGGTTTTTTATACGATACCGTCAACAATTTTTTAAGATACCTTGTACTGCTGGATTTGGAAATTTTCATCGTCTACAGTATTTAAAAGAATCTAATCCGAAACACTTATTATATTTCTCTTCTAAGCATGAATTGCTTGTTTTATAAATCTAATTTAAACTATACTTTAAATTATTCATTTAAATAATAAAAAAATATAAAGGTAAAATTAAATAACAAAAACAATAATCATCATCTTGATAAATAAAAATAAACATAAGTTATGCCTTGGGCTTTATAACAGAAGTAAGAATCTTACTAGGTACCTACCTACTGTGTGGCAATAGGGTTGATGACAAAACCTTTTTTTCTTCGTCGGCCAGGTAGATTAATAAAAGTATTGGACAAGTATTTATTTCTTATTCACATAATCAAAACATTACAGAGATATGTTGATATGAAATTTCCCATGACGTCACGTCTTGGTACAATTTTTACTTAGAAGTGACTTTACAAGCCTTCTCTCCCAAACTTTCACGCGCTCTATCCTTTCGGTATTAGTTTCCAAAACATAGAACCATTCTTAATCGAAAGAAGCTCCGGAATATCCGGGAGTGGACCGGTATTGCCTCCGTCGAACAGTTGTTCCGGCTGGCTGCTGATAGAACTACATACAGGAAGCTAACGGCCAACCTTCAGGATTGAAGAGGCACTGGAAGAAGAAGATTACAAAAACAATTTTAAACCCTACAAAGAATGAAAACGCCATTTCTGTAAGTACAGAGTATATTAAAGCTAAAATGTCTGAAAAAATAAATAAAACTCTTCGAAGAAACCAAAATGTAATGAGTTTAATAAATGCAGCATATTTTTTACCTACATAAATTAATATTCCAAAAAAAATTACGAAATATTTTTTTTGTTAACTCTACCCAATTTTTACTCTCGACTGACATTACAATGGCAAATATTCGCGCTTATGCTTTTTCTCCCTCATACAAACGTTTACAAGTGTTGTTGTCTTTTTCTTAATAACAAATACCGAATAAGATTCAAAACAAACAGCATTTTTTATGAAAAAATATATTTTATAGTACTTACGAATGAAAAGTGATGCCGTCGGTTTTATTTTTAGTTCTTGAGCAATTTGAGCACTTTTTAAAACAACACTTAGGCATTGTTTTATCATATAATCACAAAATTTTAGCAATATTTCTTTTTGACGTTCACATGTACGTCATTTGCATGTCAAGTTGTGACTAAAGCGATTGTGGCCTTGGGCCACAATTTATGCGGATCACTTTTGTGAGACTAGTGCTGTATCTACCCTTTTTGTTTTAATCTAAGACTGTGGCCCGTTGTTTTGCCCAAGAAGTTTGCTGCTATCTATACTGTGCCTTTATCAGCAATTAACCAGATTCTCAACTAACCAGACTTTCAACTACCAACAGAAAATTCATATTACTGTTATAAGTAACTTAGGTTAACAACATATTGGTATCGATTCTAGCAGGATTCTCTAAACTTAAAACCTAATTTAACATTAGTCTGTCCTTTTCATTCTGTATAAAGAATGACAAAGATACACTATTGTCAAATTTAAGTTTAGCTTTAGAGAATCATGCCAGAATCGACATCATTGCATCACTAAAAAATAATGAAGGTCAGATATTAAAGTGATCTCTATAATTAAATAGCTGGTAGTTTATTCATGACATGAATAAATTAAATACATTATTTAAATATATTCAATATAACAAAGAGTGTGAATCTGGTGAACTGCTTATAAAGAATATCACGATAACTGATAGGAAAGAAAAATAAAAACGCTTAACTCAATAGGAGGTTTTTTATTTGCCCTTAGTTTTTAACATTAGCAGGAATGGAGAGAGAATAATGTAGCCCCTTACTTTACAGGCCCCCTCTTAGTCTAAGTACAAGATGCAAAGTAGATTCTTTCTGAATGTTATAATCTGACAAGGTGCGTCCGTCTTCCAGTTGCTTGCCTGCAAAGATAAGTCTCTGCTGGTCAGGGGGAATGCCCTCTTTGTCCTGGATTTTTGCCTTTACATTTTCGATTGTGTCAGACGGCTCCACCTCTAATGTGATGGTCTTGCCTGTCAAGGTCTTCACGAAAATTTGCATACCGCCTCGGAGACGAAGAACTAAGTGGAGAGTGGACTCCTTCTGAATGTTGTAATCTGACAAGGTGCGACCATCTTCCAGTTGCTTGCCTGCAAAGATAAGTCTCTGCTGGTCAGGTGGAATCCCCTCTTTGTCCTGGATTTTGGCTTTTACATTTTCGATTGTGTCAGACGGCTCCACCTCTAATGTGATGGTCTTGCCTGTCAAGGTCTTCACGAAAATTTGCATACCGCCTCGGAGACGAAGAACTAAATGAAGAGTAGACTCCTTCTGAATGTTGTAATCTGACAAGGTGCGTCCGTCTTCCAGTTGTTTACCTGCAAAGATAAGTCTCTGCTGGTCAGGGGGAATCCCCTCTTTGTCCTGGATTTTGGCTTTCACATTTTCGATTGTGTCAGACGGCTCCACCTCTAATGTGATGGTCTTGCCTGTCAAGGTCTTCACGAAAATTTGCATACCGCCTCGGAGACGAAGAACTAAGTGGAGAGTGGACTCCTTCTGAATGTTGTAATCTGACAAGGTGCGTCCGTCTTCCAGTTGCTTGCCTGCAAAGATAAGTCTCTGCTGGTCAGGGGGAATCCCCTCTTTGTCCTGGATTTTGGCTTTCACATTTTCGATTGTGTCAGACGGCTCCACCTCCAATGTAATGGTCTTGCCTGTCAAGGTCTTCACGAAAATCTGCATACCGCCTCGGAGACGTAGAACTAAGTGGAGAGTGGACTCCTTCTGAATGTTGTAATCTGACAAGGTGCGACCATCTTCCAGTTGCTTGCCTGCAAAGATAAGTCTCTGCTGGTCAGGTGGAATCCCCTCTTTGTCCTGAATTTTGGCTTTTACATTTTCGATTGTGTCAGACGGCTCCACCTCTAATGTGATGGTCTTGCCTGTCAAGGTCTTCACGAAAATTTGCATACCGCCTCGGAGACGAAGAACTAAATGAAGAGTGGACTCCTTCTGAATGTTGTAATCTGACAAGGTGCGTCCGTCTTCCAGTTGCTTACCTGCAAAGATAAGTCTCTGCTGGTCAGGGGGAATCCCCTCTTTGTCCTGGATTTTGGCTTTCACATTTTCGATTGTGTCAGACGGCTCCACCTCCAATGTAATGGTCTTGCCTGTCAAGGTCTTCACGAAAATCTGCATACCGCCTCGGAGACGAAGAACTAAGTGGAGAGTGGACTCCTTCTGAATGTTGTAATCTGACAAGGTGCGACCATCTTCCAGTTGCTTGCCTGCAAAGATAAGTCTCTGCTGGTCAGGTGGAATCCCCTCTTTGTCCTGAATTTTGGCTTTTACATTTTCGATTGTGTCAGACGGCTCCACCTCTAATGTGATGGTCTTGCCTGTCAAGGTCTTCACGAAAATTTGCATACCGCCTCGGAGACGAAGAACTAAGTGGAGAGTGGACTCCTTTTGAATGTTGTAATCTGACAAGGTGCGACCATCTTCCAGTTGCTTGCCTGCAAAGATAAGTCTCTGTTGGTCAGGTGGAATCCCCTCTTTGTCCTGGATTTTGGCTTTTACATTTTCGATTGTGTCAGACGGCTCCACCTCTAATGTGATGGTCTTGCCTGTCAAGGTCTTCACGAAAATTTGCATACCGCCTCGGAGACGAAGAACTAAATGAAGAGTGGACTCCTTCTGAATGTTGTAATCTGACAAGGTGCGTCCGTCTTCCAGTTGCTTACCTGCAAAGATAAGTCTCTGCTGGTCAGGGGGGATCCCCTCTTTGTCTTGGATTTTGGCCTTTACATTTTCGATTGTGTCAGACGGCTCCACCTCCAATGTAATGGTCTTGCCTGTCAAGGTCTTCACGAAAATCTGCATACCGCCTCGGAGACGAAGAACTAAGTGGAGAGTGGACTCCTTCTGAATGTTGTAATCTGACAAGGTGCGTCCGTCTTCCAGTTGTTTGCCTGCAAAGATAAGTCTCTGCTGGTCGGGGGGAATCCCCTCTTTGTCCTGTATTTTGGCCTTTACATTTTCGATTGTGTCAGATGGCTCCACCTCCAATGTGATGGTCTTGCCTGTCAAGGTCTTTACGAAAATTTGCATACCACCTCGGAGACGAAGAACTAAGTGGAGAGTGGACTCCTTCTGAATGTTGTAATCTGACAAGGTGCGTCCATCTTCCAGTTGTTTGCCTGCAAAGATAAGTCTCTGCTGGTCGGGGGGAATCCCCTCCTTGTCCTGTATTTTGGCCTTTACATTTTCGATTGTGTCAGATGGCTCCACCTCCAATGTGATGGTCTTGCCTGTCAAAGTCTTTACGAAAATCTGCATACCGCCTCGGAGACGAAGAACTAAATGGAGAGTGGACTCCTTCTGAATGTTGTAATCTGACAAGGTGCGTCCGTCTTCCAGTTGCTTGCCTGCAAAGATAAGTCTCTGCTGGTCAGGGGGGATCCCCTCTTTGTCTTGGATTTTGGCCTTTACATTTTCAATTGTATCAGATGCCTCCACTTCCAAGGTTATTGTTTTTCCAGTCAAAGTTTTCACAAAGATTTGCATCTTGACCTGTGAAAAAATATATTGACATTTTAGATAATATTTGAACAATACAAATTAATATTTAATATCTATTTCTAACAATGGCATTACAATACCTGACAAAAGTGTTACACATCTACACCAATATATGCCTACAAAAACTCTTTTGTGAGAAAACTACCAATATTTCCTTTGCCTACCAGTGTATCTCTTTACTTCTATTAACAATTTATTATTGATTTTAAATGCAATATATACCATTTGACTACAGTATAAAGCCGATTATCAGAATTAATTGGGACCGGGGTTGATTCAGATAATCGGACATAGTTTGGTAATAAAGATAAACGAACCGTCACACAGAATGAAGTAAATTAAGTTTAACAAACACAGTTCTACAATACCACATACAATAATAGAGGTACATAGTAGCAAACAAAAACACCGCGACACAAAATATGTAGTGTTTTACCTCTTGCTTACAACCGTAACAACAAAAGAAAAGAAAAATAAAATTGGTTTTACTTTTTTATATTACCCTTAAGATTGATTCGGAAAATTGGCGATTCGGTTCATTGGGGTTCGACTGTATTTACCATCAGCAGACAACTGAATGGAGTAAGACCACAAAATAGAGGGTAGTTAGACTGTACACACTAATTATGTTATCATCAAAAAAAATTTAAAGATGTGAAGTAATTTCAGTCTCTCTTAATTATTATTAGGTCAATGTTTTTCTAGTTCTTGAAAAAACAATTTTTCCTATGGCCTGCAGGAGATAAACTTATTTAACCTTTTGGTTGAAATTGACAATTGGAGCTATGGATCCTATTAATACTTTGTTTTTGTTATAATCTGTATTTCTAAAAAACCCTGTCTTTTAGTGACACAATCGTTTCAGGATGACTATTGATTTCAACCATCTTTTTATTAAAAAACTTTTTTTTTTGTTAATTAAAAGGTTGGTAAACAAGCATATGGCCCGCCTGATGGTAAGCGGCTACCACAGCCTATAGACACTTGCGATAAAAAACCTTTTTTAATAAAAATTATGTGCTTTTTTTTATAAAGATGGTTTTTATTTCGTGTAAAGAAAAAATTGTTCACATTCTCATAAGCCAGAACAATATCAACTGATTAAATAGAGATTTCTGACTTGAGATTTCTCTTTCATATTTCATAAATTAACCAAATGCGATATGTGTACTGTTCATATTTCAGGAGTTCTATTGTTTATCTCCAAAAGAAGTTACCAGATCTTCACCAAATTATTATGGGGCAAACGCTTAGAAACAGTAAAGAATCATCAAAATTGGTCAACAAACATCGGAGATACGCACGAACAACAATAAAAAACATAAAAGATGAATGGAGAACCTCCCCTTTTTGGAAGTCAGTTAAAAATAAGCACTCGCGCCGTTGCCTACCCTGAACCAATCCCCTTCCCACACTTAACCACCGAAAGGTTTTATATTTCATCTATTTTGTTTAGGAGCTTTAAACATACTACTTAATTAACAATTAATTGTATATTAGATTTAGTACTTATTTAATGTACTGGTTGGATAAATTGATTGTGCAGTTGCTTCGAACACTCTGAACAACCCTATATCCAACTTATTTATTTGAAACTTAGTTACAAATATGTCTCTGAAGTTGATTAAAGCTCAAATTCCCCCAAAAGATCATGCATATGCTCAATTTGTTGACATATTTCACAAATTAGGTGTATTTGCATTTTTTATCATATATGCAAACTTCCTTGATGGTATGTGACCGGACCTAATCCTTAATATAAGTTTTACTTTTATGTATATAAACCACAGTATTTGAGGAGGCATGATTTGTATGTTTTGTACCAAATACCTTTTGTTTTGAATGTTCATTAAAATATTTGCTCCACACCAAAAGATACTGTTATATTACTGTGGCCTTCTGCAAGGTGGAGGTCATTTCCCCAGACGGGCGCTCAAATTCAACCGGAAAATCCGCTATACCCTACCTCTCTTAAACAATGTGTCTAAATAAAAAAATGGGCTAGGAACTATGTCAAATTCAACCTGAAGTTCATTATCATCATTAGATTCATAGTAGAACTGTTTTTACAACTTAAGTACGCACCTAATTATAACGCCAATGGATAAAGATAGAAGTGATTTTATTTTCTTTTCGAAATAGCAAGGTTTATTACCTTCATAATATCTATTGTTTAGTAGGTAACCTATTTTTAAATGCTTACTACTAATTTAAGTTCCCGACAAACCTGTAGATGGAAGGCTTTCTTTTGCTTTTGATAATTGGAAAATCATTCATGTCAAAATGGTGTCGACCTCAAAATTCGAGATTAAATTAAAACAGCAGGATTTTGGTAAGTATGTATACCTAGTGGCCTATTTCTCTAGTAATAAATTCAGAACGGAGAAAATTCTTACTATCTAAATATACAGTAAAACAATTCTAAAAATATAGACAGGATACCATTCTACATTTCGAATGTTCATTTTCATGTGATTGCACAAAATGGCGTCCGTTGGTTAAAACGCCATATCGAGTTTATTCAGTCTATTTTATTTATTCCATACACTGTATAAAACTTACCGTTAATACACAAACAATTTGTCACTGATATTATTTAAAGACTCAATATAAAATTTATACAACAAACAACTCTGAAAAGTCACACTGTGTCACACGATAGATCACAAAAACAAGTCTGTTTTCAATTTGGCTTTCTTCGAAAATGACAGTGGTTCTGCTTATATACTCAATGAGCCACCGGGGTTGACAGCCTCTATTATGTTTAACCCATAAAATATTTTATCGTATAAGCTATTGATTATATTTTGATTTTTTCAATACGAAAACCTTTAATAGTTTTTCAATTAAAAAAAATGTAAGTGGCCCCGGATTCCAGATATTAAGATAGCCCCCATACCTACTAGTGATGTGCCCAGTCGGCTATTTTTGGTGTTCGCATAAATAAATATTTCCAACACTCACACCAAGTAGCCTAGCCCCTAAGTAAGCACTTTAAGGCTTGTGTTATGGGATACTAGAGTAACGAATAGAATAAAACTAGTTTAAACGAATTTAATGAGTGATGTGCGTGAAAACCTAAGAAACAAATAACGAATAGAATATATTAATTGTATATATATGTATATTTATATAGTAATACATATTAAACATCCATAACTGGAGTACAAATGCTCATATTTATCACACAAATATCTGCCCCCACCGGGATTCGAACCCGAGACCTCTTGAGTCGGCGATGTCATCTGAATATTTTAGTATTTATTAAAAAAATAATCGAGTTAGGACTTGTGTCGGAAGACTCGGACAGGTATTCGAGTACCTACTAATAATTCAGTGGACTGGAGTACTTTTTGAATCGAACATTATAGTTATAGTGTGTCATATAGTCTCCATAACTCGACATATACTTATCTGTCGTGTCATGCGTCAGAGGGGTATCGGTTTCATACATTTAGTATGGTTAGAATTATATTTGTGTGTCGCGATCTGTCACGTTGCACCGACATCGTAATCATTCTGACCGTACAAAAATATATGAAACCGTTAGCTCTCTGATACATCACGACACGACAGGTAAGTATATTTCTACCTTTAATCGTATAGGGTAGATAGACTTTTAAAATGATTGGCCCTCTAAGATATATTCTTCATGTATTTTGTCTGTAGTTAATTAATTATAGTTCTCTATTGAATATGGTACCATAGTGCTATTTAAATGGATCGTCGTGAAGAGCTGCCCACGCATCCCACACACACACACTTAAACAGTATAACGCCGATTATCCGAACGCTGATTAACCGAATCGCCAATAATCCGAATCAGTCCTAAGCGTAATATAAAAAAATAAAAGCAAGTTATTCTTGTTTTGTTGTATTAAGTTGGAACTCGCTGGAGTCCAGATATTTTTCATCCGTTATGGTTGAAAGCTAGAAGCAGGACACTACATATTTTGCATGGCGCGGTTTTTTTTGCTACTATGTACCTCTATTATAGGTTGCTTTCCAATTACAGAGCATAATGCGGCTCAGTGCCGCACAATGCCGAATTATGCTTAATTGGAACGTGAATTAGATTTCAAATGCACCAGCAGAGTGCGCTAAGTTCAGTGTTGTAAAAAAAGTCAATGTTTGTACCTTCATCCATACTTATATTTATTTTTTAACAGTTTGAATGAACTTTGATTATTTAAAAAAAAAACTATTTAATGAAACGAAAGCTTTAATAATTTTTCAACAATAAATAATATTACTAACGATAACATATAAATAAAACATTTCGATCAATGCCAACTTAAAGAAAAAACACTTTTTAATTTTCTGTCTCTAAGTTGGTACGACTGCACGCATCACACGAAAGCATCACTTTTGAGAGTACTCAATTGTGCGAAGCGTTGCTGTAGTTGGAACACTCAACGTTAAGCATTATGCCGCATAATGCGCTATAATGCTGTAATTGGAAAGCAACCATTATTTTTAGTATTGTAGAACTGTGTTTGTTAACTGTGTCAGTGACAGTTCTCTTTTCTTTATTACCAGTCTTTGTCCGATTATCCAAATTTTAGATTATTCAAATCGACCCTGGTCCCAATTAATTCGGATAATCGGCGTTCTACTGTATATATATAATCGTGTGACGCTCGTGGCGCATTTCCATTTCATATTTTCCTAATATTTTTTCCATTTAAACCCTGTCCGAAAAGAAATTTCACTTCTAAAATATATGTACAGTTTTGTTTGCGTATACGAACGAAGGGCCTTATAGTCAGGCGTTTACTAATTTTAATGCAATTTTAATACAGCTGGCAACATTTGCTTTTATTTATGGCCTGACCAGTCACCGGAGGCGAGCATAGCCGATGAGATTATTGATCTTCTTCCTCTTTCGCCACGAGCCACGAGCGTCGACACGCACGATTCGAACACAAAGCTTTCTAGAATAAACAGAAAATCCTTTGTGACGTCGTCGTTCATCGTGTTGTTTTTTTTTCGATTATCTTGAAAACAATATTACAGCTAGGTAAATCTAATTTTAATAAATATGACTCATACTATTGCGACATAAAGCAAGCGTCGTGTTACTCTATGTATGGCGTAGTCATTCATTATTTTGAGTTTAGTTCAGCACCAAAGAATAAAAACTGACCTAGAGCGAGTCTGACTCGCGCTTGGTCGGTTTTTGTTAGATTTTAAGCAAGCATTCTACAAAAAATACCAAATTTCAGTTCTGTAATACATTCCGTTTTTTTCAACTTTCCATTTTTACCCTTTGGGTATGGAACCCTAAAAATAACCAGTGTCGATCCGAATATGCAGTCACATTCACATCACATCACATTGGTCCTCAGAGATGTAATTTATCCCTAGGGTCAAGAGAACCATGACCCAGGCGGCAGGTTACGAGGATCGGCTGCAAAACAGAAGCCATTCATATTTTGATTAGACTAACTAAACTAAGTTGGGGGGTAAATGTTCCGGGCCGCTAGATTTTAAAAAACACGCTTGCTGTGCAAGCTTGATGAAAGCCGAATTTGTTTGTTTTAATGATCACGAATTTCATTTTGTTCCTGAGTCAATAACAAAAGTACTGAATAAGCTCCGCTCTGTAGTTTGTTCCTATCTTCGGAGAAATTGTACCTAGGTACTTATTAATGATATGACGACTTGCGACTCATGAATCATGCCTGTGTGTTGTTGATCATGATGCAATAATTGTTAAAATTGGGAAATTAGAGGTCTTGTCCAGCGAACTATTATCTGTAAGTACCATAAAAAGTATTGTAATTATCACAAAATAATTTTCTACAGCGGCCATGACTTTTGGTCGCGTCCAAATAGCCAGGGTTTTTATTAGGAGCTACTGAAGGGTTCACGTACGTAACATTCCTTCAGAATGTCCGAGGCCTTCTATATATGTCTATATTTTTCCTATATTCTACCCCCTCGTACGGCCACACCATGCAAGCCGGCAGATTATAATATGCCGGCTTGCATATTGTAATAATAATAATTATTATTTTGTCCGTCATCAGAAACGTTAAGTGAACCCTCCAGTAGCTTCTATTCAAAAAGACTGACAATTTGGACGCGAAAAAAAGTCATGACTGTTTGTTGTTGTTTTTTTTGCTGCTCTTGATTTTCGGCCCTACATGAAGGACTCGGTATAGTGGAAGTAGTTTTAATAGGTTTAAGGATGCCCCCCTTATATGTTATCCTGCCGTTCACGAGTAAATCTCAAAATCAAGCGAAGATTTTGAAAGATCATAGAATAGAGAGAACTTTTTTCTGTTTTGTGAGTTAGGCAACGAAAGACATTTTTAATACAATTATTCAAATCACTTTATTAATTAACATGCATGAGATAGGTAGCTAGCCCGTGAGTAGTCAATGTAGGTATATGCAACTCTTTAAGAAATCGGTCGGAAAGATAAGTACGCAAATAGTTTCATCGAGGTCAAGACAACAAAATGCGCCGTTTTCTTTATCCTTCGTAGAACCAATGGCACGTAGTTCGTCTACCTACCGTGTATCAGCCGTACGTACTTGGTGACGATAGAAGGTAGGTATGATTATGTGTGGCGTCAATGAACGCTGTTTGGCAAACGTTCAAATCATACGTTAACTGTAATATTTCACAGAAATCCTTTGTTGCTTCTTCCTACTCAGAATGCCAGACGCAAGTAAGAATCACGAGTTATATTCCCTTGTCGTCTTGCCCCAGCCAAAGAATCCTCCACGGTAGAGAAGAGTGGAATTCTTTTCCTATTTTACTGGCAAAGATGAAAAGAAAAACTTACCACAACAAACATAGTAATGGTGTAAGGTGACATTATGCTTACCAAAGAATTATAAATAGATGATACCGATGTAATTGGTTGATGCTGACTCGCATCGTAGTTAATTACTTATTAAGTATTAATGCGTGGTTTAATTACTGAACTACATAACTACCTAAATTAATAGTGTAATATTTGGTTAAAGAACCCAATAAACAAAAGCTTGAAATTAAGATCAGCAGCTGAGAAAATAAAACCTCCATAGATAGATAGATCCAACATGCATGGGTCTGGCCGGCCAAGCCAATTGATCTTCTGAGATTGAACGTTTACTATGGAGCCTGACTGGGCCCGCATTTTTGATAAATGACCCGTTCTGCCCGACATCGACATGATTACGACAAGGTAAGAGTACGCTGATAAGGGGTTGCTATTTATGCCATTTTGTTTCCTACGTAGATAAGCAATTAATACCACAGAACACAGAGTTTTGTGATGTTAGTAATAATAATAGGTACCTTATCATTGTACGGCTTTGCCTGTGCATCTGATGACATTTTTGTAAGACCTTATTTATGTCTTCTTCATTTTTGTGATCACAGAACAGTAAAAAGAGTTCTGTTCTGTCTTATTATCTCAGTTTTAGAACAAGAGCGTGCCTGAAATATTTTATTTTTGGAAATCCAAATCTTAAATTGACAAACGCCATTTCGAATTGCGACGTAGACTGAGAATTCTGAGGACTGAGACACCTATCTTAACTCATACCTATCAAAATAAACATAGCAATGGCGCAGTATACAAATATAACAGTAAGGAAGCTACGTACAAACGTTCGAAAAACAACACGCTCACAGACGTAGATACGTTTAATTAAAGTCTTATGCCTTCTCTATACGTCGACGGAGGTACCGCGGACGCTGACAGATGCATAGTAGATGGATCACATCTGTAGGTCATTCAGTCCGTATCTGTGTTTTTCTTCATGTTCTAGACACACGCAAAGATGCGCTGCGTGTGACCGCTGTAATGTTAATTTCTCCTCCACTGCCCTCTTTTACTCTACCTCAGAGAGCAGGGGAAGCAATGAAAGAAAACCAAAAAAAATCAAATAATGCTATAATTATATTTCACCAACTATGGATTCTAAAAAAGATTAATACAGTAGTTTTAAGTTCTAGTTTATATAAATTGCCAAGTTGACATGAAACCTTATAACTATATTTCACTAACCTAACATGTCACAACGAGGCTGAATACAGTAATTTTCAATGTTAGAGTTTATACAAATTCCCCCAGTGGGCAAGAAATGTTATACTATATTTTACCAACGTTCACTCTCCTAACTAAGCTGAATATAGTAGTTTTAAATTGAGAGTTTTTATAAATCACAAGTTAGCATGAATCTTAGAATTATATAGATATCAGACATTCATAACAATCTACCATGTACTTACATAAGTTCTTAAACTATATCTAATGTATTCTATCCACTCTGCAATGGACTGTCCATTGAGAGACCACAAAGACTAGACTTAATATTTTTATAATTATAATTAACCCAATCAATGAAGTTTGACAGCTACGCCGACGTCAGCGGTTCGCTATCATAGACAAAACAGCTGTCCTACGTGTGTCAGTTATTAAAGTGTCAGTGTCACGCCCTGTTTAAAAACAAACACTACACCGCACACCCGCAAAATGCGCCCGACAAATAATGTCGTCACAATATATTTCATCAGCCAGTGTGATGCTGGGCAATAGTTGGGGTCTATCGCTTATAACAAAGTGGCTGTACACAACGATAATAAGACCCTCCATATGCTATAATCATTAACAGCCTATTAATGTCCCCAATGCTGGGGCACAGGCCTTCCCTATGGATGGAATAGGGAGATTGGGCCATGACCCACCACGCGGGCTCAGTGCGGATTGGTGGGTGCTAACGACTGCAGATGCAGCCGGGACCAACGGCTTACCGTGCCTTCCGAAGCACGGAGAAGCTCGAGATAGTAAATTTTTGGTCACCCATCCAATGACCAACCACTGCGAAAGTTGCTTAACTTCAACGATCGCAGCCGAACGCGCTAACCACTTGCGCCATCGAGCTCCATATGCTATGCAGCGCTTGTATGGTGGTCCACGACAACACAGGTAACGACCATAGACAAACTTAAGTGTTTTCAAGGCCGTGTCAGCCGGCCGGGCGATAGCGGGCTGCATGAAAACCACTCCGACTGCAGCATTAGAAAATTCTAAATGTGAAACACTTTTTCATATAGCAGGAAACGGCACGTGCGTCCACAAGACTCCGATGCTTGAGGAGAGACAACAGCACCCGTATTTTAAAAGGCATTGAATAAGTATACCCCTTCTTCATAGCAAAATACGACCTGATTCCAAGACAGTAGTTGCGTTACGAACATGCCTAAGCAATACTAGAAAGAATAGGGTGCGGGTTCGAGTCCCGTCCGCTGCCTGCTCCGCGTGGATTTTTTTCTTGTAAAATTTTCTTGAGCTTTAAGTATCTAGCAGTTAAAATAAAAGTAAAACTATAGTATAATTACGTATTAGACAAAAACTATGACACAACTGTAAGAGAACAATAGGCTAGTTGACTCATGTCGAATTGTATTAAATAAATGTTTATTTCTTAAAGTATTTGGTCTAAGGAACCTAAATATATCGATTTCACTTCATAAAAGCAGAAGATTGCTGTAGAAATTTAATTTAAAAAAATAATTTTTAGTCTATACTTTTTAAACACTAAAAACGCTGTTCGCTACATCCGCCATGATTGTGACGTCTCTTTTAGTAAACAACTAAATGTCATTCATACATTACTTTAAAACTTGTATTATTAAAACTGAGAATAAATGAAGAGACTTAAAATATTATTCAATGAGTACTTACATCAAAATGATCTTCGCTAAAATAAATTTTACTATGAGTCGATAAAGTTGCAGGATCACTTTTAGCAAGTTCTAACCAGGTATTACGTAGGTTAATTTCTTTCGGCACTTTAATCCACAACATTCCTGGAGTCTTCAAGGATGTGTTTTTACATTCTCGTACAATACAATAATGATAATTACTATATTTTTCGTGGTATCTATTAGAAATCATGTTTTCTTTTTATTATCTCAGATAGGTTATTTTCTACGTGCTTACGAGTTTTTGTTTACTACCGTCAACATCATAGCATAGATAATCTATAGACTAAAATGGCCGACAGCGTTTTTGTATGTCCATGAAAAGTCTAATTTAAAATTAAAGATTTGTAGCTTTCTAGGTCTCAAAAAAATACAATACATTTTTTTTCCGGTCTAATAGAACATTTATTAACCATTTAAAACCTTTTTCCAAAAAGGGTCAACTAGCCTATCCAGATCAGCGACGACACAAGGAGCTGAGGGTGTATACAGATAGCTAAAAAACCAACTGGCCTGCTGTTGGTTTTTTAACACTTTAATACTTTTTTGAACACTTAAAATCCTCCGAGAACGTTATTGATGTTCTTGTAGAATACAAGCAACCAACGACGATCACCAATGACTTGGTGCTTTGATTGCTAGTATGTACACGATCAAGTAACCTCAAAGTAGTCATAGTCATCAAAGCCATTTTGTCAAAGCAGACTGAGCATGTCAACGCGGCTTAAGGCAGCGCACGCTCATAGTATAATAGATTTGACGTCGACATCCAATCAAAGTGGACTTGGACCTTACTCAACTTTTGTCAAAGCTGACCTTGAGCATGTCAACTCGGCTTTACATTCTAATCCGATACACGCTGCTTAGTTTGCATCATGGACCAATAATATAAAATATATTAGCTACTTTGTCAAAGCAGACTTTGAACATGTCAACGCGGCTTTTAGCGGGGCACGGAGCGGGTATCCGCTCGGCATGCAATTTTTATAAGAGAAATTCCCGCCTCACGCAGCGCTGCTCTGTGATACAACATGAAATAAACACGCCGAGCGGATCCGCTCCGTGCCCCGCACGCTCTTACATAGTTATGTCGAATTTCCTCTAGTATTTCTTAGGTTGCAAGGAAACGCCGCGCGCCGTCTCTTCACGTTGTCGGTAACACAATGTAATAGTTACGAAAAATCTTAACAAGTTTAAAAGAAGAAATAGAAATACATAATAGATTATTAATTTTAATTTTAGCCATATAACTGCTATATGTTTAAATCTAAAGAAATCCGCCCGGATAGCCGAAGATGTGGGTTCGAATCCCGTTTGAAACATAGACAGAGCGGAACCTAATCTTTGTCGATTAAATTTGATTCGATCTAGTAAAATTTTATTAAGATTCAAACGTCGCAGGTTCAAACATCAATAAAACGCAGGTACAATGCTTATACATAAATTATGATAATATAAATATGTCAGTCAGCTTGGAGATCTGTAACACGGTCCTGCAGGCGGAGTGCATAGGCATCGTCAGAACAAAGGAGGCCATCATGCCTCCGGAAATTAGGGGCAAGAATATCCCGATGTTCTTGCCTCTAATTTCCCTAGTATCCGGATACTCTCTGTCAGTGCCTCGGTACTCCAGGCGCTAGATAACATTATTTCGTTGGCCTAACTTTCGAGTGTCACAAAAAACTAAGGAAGTCAACAAAAACAATGGGTCAAGCGGCAACGATGCGGCAGACTGCATGGCCAGGTAAGTGTTGGACACTATGGCATTCGAAACCAATCGTACCCATCCCATCCCATCGCAACTGCGAGGTTTGAAAAGGGAACGATATCTGCGTCAACATAATGAATACTGGGATGGCATTCCAGATTGCAGGCCATGCCAGAGAAGCCATACCTAAGATTAGGGTTGTCAACCCTCCGGGGGCGTGCTCGGAGATGTGGCGCACGCAGGTGCGCCGGCCCCGAGACGCCCCCATTAGGGCGTAGGAGGGTACTGACCATTATGTTACCGCGGCCCTGACGGCCGTGTCGAATTTTTTTCTAGCCTTAGGCTGCAAGGCAGCGCCATCTCTTCGCAGTGTAGGTAACCCACAATGTGAAATGAATACTTTTACAGGTATTAAACATTTGAAAGAAGAAATAGCAATATAGTTGTTTTTTTAAGCATTTAACTGCTAGATAAAATTCTACGCGCTCCAGGCAGCAGACAGGACTCGAACCCGCACCCTTTGCTATCCGGGTGAATGCACTGACCATGATGCTACCGTGGCCCTGACGGCCGTGTCGAATTTTTCTCTAGCCTTACTACAATAGTTTCTGAAGGCACAGAGGTGACAGGTATAAATAAAATATAAAACTAAATAAAATAAGAAAAACTAAAACAATATAATACTAAATTTTAACAATCACTAACAACAACATTCTCATTCATTCTCATATCTTATTTAGTAGTTGCATTGTCTTCCCATGGTCTTGGTCCACGTTTGTTTTCCCAGTTATCAATGTCCAACTTTTGAATGTCTTCATAAACAGTCTCAAGGGAAACATTCTTTTCCCTATGCAAACCCATTTTCTCAGCTTCTTCTTTACTAACTCCTTTTACTTGTGAGAATTCATATCTGGAATTTAATTAATTTATTATTTCATAACACAATCATTAAAATTTTATACAACATACCTACTATATCTAACTCAGTTCCCTACAAAAAATATTTTTGCTGAAATGTATTTCACATTGATATGAAATATAGACAAATTATGGATTATTTATTTGTTTCTTAGGTGCTTCGAATGTAGCTCGACAAAATGAAATAAAAATTTGATTACAACGGCGAAACATCAATAAATAAATAAAGTTTCGTGCATTAACCCGTAAAAAACTAGTTTTATTTATGGATTATTTATTGAGAATTTCATGTTTATTCCACACTAATTTATTGATTCTACCATGAGAGACACTTTTTAATAGAAATGTTCAAAGGTAATTAAAAAAGGTAATTTCTTTAATTTGTGTTTATGTTATTTTTATTGATTTTAGGTAACATTTAAAAGTATTTGATAACTTTTTAAGCTGAAAATTTACTTGATATTTTTTGAGTTAATGACATATTTACAAAATTATAAGAGAATACAATATTTCGTTTATTTTTGGTGTCTCATGTGTTAATCAGTAAAAGGATACTCAAGAAACTTATGTATTGTATGGTGTCTTATGTTTGCAACATCTGAAGATAATTGAGACAACAACAAAAAAAATTGAAGAGTTTAATTTAGTTAGATTATAATTTTATGTATGTGTGAAGGAAATTCGATAGCTTACAAGGAGAGAAAAAATAAGGAATGTTAAAATTTCCTTTTCTTATATAAACATAAAACAAAAGCTAATAATGAATAATTTCTTAGGGGAAAATTGAAGTAACAAGATAAGAGACTTGAATCTAACCCATAGTCAGCTTGTGATGATTTTTATAGTTTTTCTAATTAAATTTAATATAAAATTAGTAAATCTTAAAATTCATTTAATAGGCTAAAAATAAAACCTACAAACGGAATGATATACTTAAGACAAAAATATAAATGATGACTTTTTAAAACGGTGGCAAAAAACTGAGAAATGCTCCATTAGGTACATACAAAAAATAGCATTATTTTTCACAATTACTAATAAAAACAATTTCAATAATGTTGAGTTAGATCCCTATCTGAAGGTCCAGATTTAAGGTCAGTACCTACCTTATTTGGGTCCACTCTCTTAGACCGAAAGAGCCACCTACAACAAATACGATAAAAGGTAGACCATATTTAAAAGAACGCTTTTTACTTGTAACGATAAGCTTATTTCGTATTGAACTCCAACTGCTAAGGATATTTTCTAAAATCATTTTGTCGAAATCAATCACACACAAATCTTAACATTTCGTCAACGTCAATAATTATTGACATCAATATGTATGTCAATAAAAACAAATATTTTTTTGGTTGTATTCTTAGCAACGGGAAAACGGCAAAGGCAAAGCCATGCAGCCATCGTCTTCATTTTTTATTAATCTTCTTTTTTACATTAAAATGTGGGTGTGGTGTGGTTGTGAGTGTGACGCATTTTAAGATCGAAATGTCATTACACAAGTTGAATTGTATAAACACAATAATTGTTTTCTTAATTTCATCATAAACTTATCACAGTATGGCTTGACAGGACGATGTTGGCTCTTATTTTATTGGATCAAAGGTACATCATGTTGCGACTCTTTTTACCTTGTAGGATTGTCGTAAGGGCATGATATCTCTTTCCTCACTCTGTCAGTCTTTAAATACTCAGTTTATGACTTGACTAGAACTTGACAATGGGGTCGATTCTGACGTGATTCTCTAAACTTAAAACTAAATTTAACATCAGTCTCTCTTTTTCATTCTGTATAGAGAATGACAAGGATATACTGCTGTCAAATTAAAGTTAAGGTTTAGAGAATGATGCTAGAATCAACACCATTGTATCCTTCTCATACTTTTCACAGAATGACAAGGATACTTACACCTTTGTCTAATTTTAGTTTAGGTTTGGAGAATTATGCCGGAATCGATACCATTATCTTTATACATTTTATATCAAAATAAAAAGGTCATCACGGTTTAAAGTTGCATTTATGGCGCAGGTTAAGAGTACAAAGTGCAACTTTTTACCCAATAGCCATTCCAAACCTTGGAGCACGAAGTTCGTTTCCTTGGTGACAGTTGCTTTGACAGGTGGTTGTCCAAGGGTGGAAGGGTTGTCGTTGCAAGCCATATTTACCTGTGATACATACAACCGAGTGTCTGTTAGTTAGCTACACAGACTATTAGATGCTTACGCTATCTTTATTAGTTATACGCCACTTATAGACTCCATAGTCTAGGACACTCACGTTTGATTTTTTTATGCTTTATAAATAATATTGAGTCGATGTATTTTTAATTGGTAATGGTATTTTGAGATATATAGGAATTATATTCGGGTTCAAATCCCGGTGGGGGCAGATGATTGTGTGATGAATACGAGCATTTGTACTCCAGTCATGGATGTTTAATATATGTGTTTCTATATAAATATACATGTACAGTGGTGTCGATTCTGGCGTGATTCTCTAAACTTAAAACTAAATTTACAAATGATTTAATTTATTTGACTGTAACATCAGTCTCTCCTGTTGTCAAATTTAACTTTAGATTTAGAGAATAAATAAATAAATAATAAATAAATATTTCCAACACTCACACTAATTAGCCTAGCCCCAGAGTAAGCACTATAAAGCTTGTGTTATGGGATACTATGGTAACGGATAGAATACACATAATGATGTCGATTCTGACATGATTCTCTAAAGCTAAACTTAATTTTGACAACAGTGCATCCTTGTTATTCTCAATACAGAAGAAAAGGAGAGACTGATGTTAAATTTAGTTTTAAGTTTAGAGAATCACGCTAGAATTGACACCACTGTACATATATAAGTATATTTTTATAGAAATACATATTAAACATCCATGACTGGAGTACAAATGCTCGTATTGATCACACAAACATCTGCCCCCACCGGGATTTGAACCCGGGACCTCTCGAGTCGGTGACACCATGAGACCCGGCGTACAAACGAGGTCGTCGACTCGTGCCAGAATCGACACCAATATATGTATTTTATCCGTTACCCTAGTTTACCTTATGGTAAACTAGTAAGCTAAATAAGCACAAGAGTGCTTACTTTGGGGCTAGGCTAATTGGTGTGAGAGTTGGAAATATTTATATCCCCCTTGTGTGTGTGTGGCCCCTGGCTAAATCCCTTCTTGCTACAGGAAAAATAAGAATAGTAAATATGTACTAGGCTGTATGATCATATATTCTTTTGAATTGAAGTAAAAAAAAAACTTAAAATGGCGGATTTGTGAGTGACGTATGTGTTGTGTGTTTATGAAATTTGGATTTTTGTAGTATTTCTCTTCTATTTGTGATTATAATGAAGTGAGGACTTTGGATTCTATTATCAACATATCTTGTATTTATCTTTTGGTGAGTAATTGAACTCCTTAATTTTATTGTGTTAAGTATGATATAGAATTTGACACGGTGAACTGGTGAAGCTACAATTTGTGGGTTGAATCGTCCTCGTTTTAGAATAATTCAATAGCCGTGATTTACCTTCGATGTTACTTTTTCTTATTAGATGAAGTTTTGTTACATTTATTTGCTTATAGAACTGATTTATTGTGGTTTTGTTTTAAATAAATTGCTTTAATTTCGTGATAAATTGATCAAAAAATGACTATAAAATAAGGTACCTATTCATCTATTGCGGTACGTTCGTCATTGAAAATAGAGAAAATAAATTTGCCTTCAATTTATTTTTTTATTTATCATAATACTGAATCTTTTTATCATATAATTGGCCGCTGTTTGAACATTGTGTTTTTAAATGTGTTTGTTACAGGAGATGAATTTATTCATTATTGAGTGTCCATTAGGTTTTCTGTAACATATTAAAAAAAAGTTAAATTAATTTACAATTCATACATTACATTATACTGCATCAAACATGTGAGGGATTGTGTTACTAAATACTATATTTTATTCTAGGCAATTTTTTTATGTTTCCATGAACTTCAATAAATTTACAAAATATTATAATTATGCTCATTTTGCTTTACCTACTTTGCAATCAGAGATAAGTGATATTGTCTTATAGCTTAGGATATGTGTATCGATACAATTTGAACATTATTTTCTGCTGGGTTGACTGAGTGCAAAAAGTGTGAAACTATCAGATATAATAAAAATATAAAAATAAATATATTATTAGGTCACAGATCATAGATAGATGTTGCCAGCACATTGTATTCAATATTTTCCAAAACAACTCTGTTGGTTTGTGATAGATTTTTAGTTTTTATAAAGTTAGCAGTAACTGCATACTACATAAATCATAATTTGTATTATATCCAACATCAGTTTTTATTAGTAGTAATTTTTAAGTATTTTTTTATTCATCAATCTAATTAAACCATTAAAATTTAGTTAAATAGTTTTGAACTCATAGTATCTGATTGTTTTCAAAGCTGCTATAGTAACTTGCTTTATTTTTTAATTATTTTAGTATCTAATAATACTGTTTTGCATTCCAACAAAACAGTTGTGTGTGAGAAAACACACAGAGTGGATGAAGAAGAAGCTCACCAGAACACACAAATATATAAAGGGAGGACCTGTATTTCTTCAGTATAATTAGATAAATAATCCTTTCACCCATCAATAAGGCTGAATGGTACGATGGTGACAGTGTCATTGTCAGTTTATAGTCTTCAGATATCACTTGCAAGAAACTTGCTCACGCTGTGTGTTTTCTCACACACAATAACTGTTTTGTTGGAATGCAAAACAGTATTATTAGATGCATTCCAATGCAAAACAGTATCATTATATGTGGTTCTAAAACACACAGCATGGTGTAATGTGTTAAAAAACGTCACATGAGTTTTGTTTGGTTGAAGAGAGAGATAGAAGGCCTATGTTTAGATTGACTTCCTCATCCTCCTTTATCATAGATCCTTTTCACTAGTCCATGCGTTTTTTTGTTTATTTTCTGTGGCTTAACAAGGCTTTATCTATACTGGTTCCTTTGCTTGCCTTTTGGAAGGAACAAAAAAGAAGAAAATTTCAACGTCACTTCAACAACATAGCTCAATGCCCATCCGTCGTATCTATTGAGGTAGGTCTGGCGCCCGAGTACTTTTTTAATTTTATTTCGACCTATCCATATTGCATTAAAATACAATTTTTGTCTTGCAGAATGCGGCAAGGCAGCACATTTGACATTGTGGGTTACCTACAATGCAAAGAGATGGCGCTGCCTTGCCGCTTAAGAATGGCTAGATGAATTTCGACGCGGTCATCAGGGCTGCGGTAGCATAATAGACTAGTTGACACTTTGGAAATATGTTTTAAATGGTTAATAATTGTTCAATTAGACCGAAAAAAAATGTATTGTTATTTTTTTTTTACCTATAAAGCTACAAAACTTTAATTTTAAAATAGATTTTTCATGGACATACGAAAACGCTGTCGGCCATTTTAGTCTATAGATTATCTATGGTATGACGGGAACAATAGTAAACAAACACTCGCAAGCATGTAGGATATAACCTATCTGAATTTACATTACAAAACCATGATTTCTAATAGGTTTCATGATAAATATAGTAATTATCATGTTTGTATTATACGAGAATAAAGAAACACATCGTTAAAAACTCCAGAATGTTGTGGTTTCAATTTTTAAGGTTATGAATGTACCTGCTAAGTCAAAGAGTTTTGTCGTTTCTGCTTTCACAAGTCCGGCGTTCAGCATTAAATTAGTCAAGAAAACCAATAAACAGAAACTTTTCTTCAAGATATGAGTTTTTAGATATATTTTAGTCAGACGAAAGAAACCACAGTAACACGACAATGACGTTTAGTTGTTTTGCTATTATTTTGACGTCACAATCATGGTTGACAGTGTTTTTAGTGTTTAAAAAGCATAGACTAAAAAACTATTTTTCAAATTAAATTACTACAGCCCTCTTCTAATTTTATGCAGTGAAATCGATGTATTTAGGTTCCTCATACCAAAAATTATAAGAAATAAACATTTGTATAGTGCAATTTGACATGAGTCAACTAGCCTATTGGTCAGCGCATGGTGGGGGTTCGCGTACCGTATGCTGCCTGGTCCGCGTGGAATTTTTTCTAGTTATATTTTCTTTAAAAATATAGTTTTTATTTGAGCAATTGAAAAGTTAAATATTTCATTAATATCCTTGGTAAACTACTTACATAGAAATATAATTTATAATGGTAAACATCATGATATCATATCAATGTTATATATCCTGGAACCTGGTTTGCAACATATTTATATCACACCTAATATCTGGAGATCCGGGGTCATTTGCCGCCTTCTTAGTCTTAGTTCCTGAATGATTTTGGAATATGTATAATGAAAACAACTTGGAATTGCATTGAATCATCGAGTTCGTAGCAAATAACTAGATCGACATAGTCCAATGAATAGGGATGACACCAGACAGACGACAACTGGCGACACTCGGCCACGTCACAAAATTACTATCTATTTTGTGGTACAGTGTTGTACCGCGGATTAGTCTCACGCTCCAGTTGTCACGAATACCACTAATTATGTTACGTTTTGCGATTGCACGGATGTTAGATTGTCCACATACATAATGGACTAAACACAGCTCGTAGCTCACGATAATACCTTGATGTCTACAGATAAGATGAGTAAAGTGCGAAATGAAAGAAAAGCATAATGCTCCAATTGCTGTTCTAGTTAAGAAACGAGATTTGCATTTTCAGAAACTATTAACCTGTTATTATAGGTTCCGTACTTCGGAACAATAACTTTACTGTCTAGTGTGGCATGTTAAATAATCATCAGAAAAAGATTTATTAATCCACAAAAATTCAATTATAAGTGATTGTATGTTTTTTATAAACTAACTAACTAACTTGGAAACTGGTTTCATAGGGTATAATACCCCCTTTTCTTTTGTGACGCAGGCAAAACCTCTATTTACAGACGAAGGCACCTTTAAGAGGCACACCGCCGAACGGACCTCATACTTGACTCTCGCAAGCCTTACGAGCCCCCCCAGTGGATGCCAACTGAGGACCCCGTAACCCTTACGGGCGCTTTATTGCATAATAATCGCTAAAAATCCCTACGAATACCCTCTAAGCTGCTAAGTGCGAAACCACGGGATCTCCGGTAAGGGGTTCTGCCGCGTCTCCGCATTCAACAGCCTCCCGGCCTAGCCGGGGCTCCACGGCAGGAGTCTCCCGGGGTAATGCGGGACCCCGCAGACGTGCGCAGGATAGTCCGCGCGTGGCGCGGCCTAGTTCCCACCGTACCGCGTCCCGTCCGCTGCGGAGGGCTACTTGGGCGTTCCCGTGTAGCTCCCTCCGCCGCCCACCTCTTTGTAGGACAGAACTACAAGAGGGGGGAGGGTATAATACCCTATGAAACGAGTGTCCGATTTTAAATTGTTACCCAGATAACAGATTTATTTGAAATACATTTCGAAATGTAAAAAACTTATTCTCATTATGTATTTCGTAAGATATGTAGTATATCATTGGGTCTCATTTGCTGACTTTCTCACACCAGATGGTCTTTAAATACACAGGGGCACCTTCTGAGCATTTAAGCGACGGCCTGGCAACCCGTCATGTCGTCATTGTTTCCGGATAGCCATTTAGGCCCAACCAATGCAAATTACAATTTTATGACTACCTATGGATATTGCATGTAATCAAATTAACGGAACTCACTTAACCTGACATTTAAAAACCATAGCATGTCTGTACAGCTGACTTGGTTTGTTGTCACGGGGCTTACTGCAATGTAATAAATCAGTGTCGTTCAATCATTAATGTCGTGATGCCATTATTTCCGTAGTACGACGACGTCTAGGGTCATCATTAGTTTCTTTCAATTCTATGTGCAAATCTTCACGGTCGCTGAGTTTCGATTACGCAGTTAAGGCAAACGACAAGTATGTTGACGGTCGTTTGTGTAATGCCTTTACTAATCGGGAAATTCGTTCGCCGGTGGGCAGATTGGTAGCTCGGTGACTGGCTGACAGTTCGCGTTTAGCGGGCACCATGTCCGCACGCCACCGATTATTTCAACCTTGCATACTTACAATGTGCTAAGTGTACACAACATTTGCTTGCTTCGTCATGCGACAGACTACGTAAACAAAGGAGCCTCCCGCGCTCGAATGACTCCTCACAAGTCACTATCGTTGTCAAATGTGTAAACAACGCGTTCTTTCAGTGTAGTGGTCGTACTGTGTGCAATTTCATAGATGAAAAAAAAACGTTAACCTCGTTGTGATTTACAAAGTTACCATTAAGCAGAGGACTGTACAATTTGTCATATTGTATATTCACCAGGTGGGGTACCTATTTCTTCTTGTTTTTATTTACTGACAGTGTATTTTAATAAATTTATATTGTATTTGTCTGGTGTCAATTAAAACGCAATTGATACTTGCGAGTTTATAAATAATTAACCTATCTAAAACCTCTAGAAAAATTGAATTTAATAAAAAAAAACTAATAATTTTGACCAAACTTGGAACCTTTATAGTGTTTGAAAATTCCAAAAAATCTACCGGTGAAGCGACAAGTCAAGGTAGCTAAAATAGATAATATCTACATATACATATATTATATGTATATGTATGAAAAATCAAAAATTTGTTTCATTTATGAATGACAATAATTACATTTTATCTTAGTGATAATACAGTATTATGCATTCTGATACCAATGGTCATTTTATTTTTTATAAATAGCTTATTATTTTAAAATTTTATGTGTAATAAAATAATCCAATCTCGCTATTGAAGATACCACGTAGTTGATTTATTAGGAAACCTGATTCTTTCTGATTTTGTGTGTCAAACTGTGTTATATTTAATTCAATTTTGTTAGGTATTTATCATGCATGATACAGTAACAAATATCCCAATGTCACAATTTTCACATCCTTAATATGTATTATTAGGAAGTAGAATCAGTCAGGTTCTTAGAACTTAGCATAGTATGTTAGCGTTTGCCTAAATCCCCTAGTAAGTAAACGTCAAAAAAAAAACAAAAAAGCATCCATTTCTAGCTGGATGAAACTTTAGGATTATAATTTTTTCCGAATATCAACTAACTGCTAAAGCACAGGCCTTATGCGTATCTATCGACATTTATCCTGTGATAGACCTATGATTTACAAATCATTAAGGTTCTTTAGTGTCCCATGAAGATTGGATAGAACATAGCTCTAACTAGCTAGTTCATCACCGCTGCTGCTGTAACTAACAGCGCCATTCAGCGATATTAATAACTAGTAATGTCATTGGCGCTATTCGAAAAACATTCATAGAAAAAAAAACTACAGAAGAAAATTAATAGTAGCAAAATTTATTAATTTTGTACATATATTAAGGTATATGTAACTTTAATTAACTAAACTGATAGAGAGTATCATCAAACAGTGAGTACGGCACTTATGGTAGTCGGCTGGCCGTGTGGAACAAGGCCGCCACATGTCTGCCTTGATTTACAATGTGGGCAGTAAGCTAAAAGGGAACACTGGATATCATTTATTGATTGGGCCGCACTTAACATCTTATGTGATAAACATCGATTGAAACCTTACTAGAAAAATAATTGTGTTTGTGCATTAGTGTTATAAAAATAATAGAAAAAGGACTTTTTTTCGTTGTGCAGTAATTTGTCCTATGTCAGAATTTTTTATTACTCGCCACTGTCTGACTTTTGGGTCATTTTTTCACTTGGGATACAAAAACTTTTTGTAAAAATATAGCTAAAAAATACGTAGAAAACTACAACTGGCACCCTATGACTACTACCCTTCACAAAATCCTAATTCACGGGGAGAAAATTAAAGAGAATTCAGCGCTACCCATTGGACTACTCTCCGAACAGGCAGGAGATTCCAGGAACAAGTTTTAGCGTCAGGACAGAGAACATCACAGCCGGAAAGATTCTAGGGTTCATACCATGACCGACTTATTTCACAGGGAGCTCGAGTCATCCGACCCTGTGATATCGGCTATACGGCTAAAACATCGTGAAAATAACCAAATGAGAATGCCACTGCCACAGGCTGTAATAAATTTATTAAAACCGGACAGTTCGGGATGTTTATATGACGATAATAGTGATGTCGACGACGAAACTGCATGCATAGAAAGTGAAGAAAATGAATTCACAACTGTTCTTCATAACGAAGACAGTGTGTTTACGACAGATAATGTTTAAACAGATTCATTTGTTTATTTGCACTTAATAGGGAAGAACTTAATGCCTGTGTGCCACATTTCATCCAAACAAGTTGGCCCACAAAAGTGGATGATTATGTAACAAACATACCAAACACATTTATAATCTTATATAAATAGTAAATAATATAATAACAACGTATTTATATAGTTATTATAGTATAATATTTAAAAAGTAGCATAACTACGTTTTGAAAATTAAGTCTTCAAAATGTGGGACATTGTCCCACAAATTTAAATTCTTAATATTTCCGATATACCACCGAGTTAAAGCTTGTTATTTTTTGAGTTGATAGTCTACATTATTAGCTACATTTTGAACTAAATTATATGCTTTAATATTGCATAACATGAGCACAAAAAATTAAAAACGAAAATCACTAAATCGCCGATTTCTCGGTTCCTACAAGCTCTAGGGCAGCCATAGAAGACTCATAATATGGATAAAAATAATACCTTTTGAAATACAATGTAAAAAATAAAATAACTGTAATAGTTTAGACAATTTTTTTTTTATTTCTTTTTCACAATGTGGTACAAAAAAAGAAAAACCGGGATTTCGTCGAAACTATTATAGTTAGAATCGTGGGAGTTTTACTCTTGCGCTTAGAATGAAGAGTTTTATCTGATTCACCTTTAATCAAGGGAGTGGTAATTTTGAGGTGAAATAACTCAATGTGCGATGGTCTGTTTTTAGTTACTTTCTTCTTGCAATGCTTGGAGTAATGTCCAAGCTTTTGGCAATGAAATCACTTTGGTTGTTTTGTTGGTTCTTTAGACTAACCTCTCTTCTTTGTGTTTCTTGTAAAAGTTTTGTTTTGACAAAATCACATCACAGAGTGCTGTTTTCTAATTTCATTATTATTAGGTCGATATCTTTCATTGCCACAAATTCGTCGTCTATATGAGCATTTATGTCCTGTAATTGTGTGCTGTGGATACAGCACACAATTAGCAATCTTGGATAAGAATGCTGTCGAATTGGTGCAGGCTTAGATCAAACAATCTAAGTAGGCCTAACCTTCTATATAGTCCCTTGCCTTCGAAGGACTTTGGTAGATTCTCCCAGGCCTCGAGATATCTGAAGGTTGTAAACTCAGACGAATTCGTGCGAGAGCGCCTTGTCCTGTTTCTTCTTGTCTTCATACTCTGGCTTATCATCTTTGCCGATAGTTGTGCATACAACCAAATCTTTCTTTATGAGTAGGTACCAATCGCATTTTAAACTGCCATGACGTGTAGTTGTCCACCACGGCGATAATTAAATATCAAAGTAACTAGCTTCTTTATATTGTATTATATTCATACATTCGATGATAGCCACTAATATTAATACCTGAGAAGTTCTTGGTTACTTTTGTATTATAAACTGTTTCCTGTAGCAGACATAAACGGTATTATTCGAAACGACCTTCTCAACTTGGAAGGAAATTATTAAAGGCTGTTTTCTCATTTTTAGCGTTTGCACTTGAATAGGAAATGAATTTTATGATCTATTTGATCAAAGAGTTGTATCTTCAACAAAATTGCCTCTATTCATTTACCAGACACATTTTTTCTGGAATATTACAAGTGTTCTCACAAAAAAAAAACAATGTTCCTTCGCTATATTCTTAAATCATTTTCATAGAATCTAATATTTTATCTAGACATTAAAACACCGATAAAAGTAAAGCATGCAGCGCTTATGACTATAAAAAGTCTATTCTGTTTACATATTTTTGCTACTGTTCAGCTCCCGCTTTGCACGGGTGCAATTTACAAATACAAAAATTGAGTGTTAATATTTAAATAAAAAAAAGAGTTTTCGAATTACCTGATGATTTTAGATGAACTATTTATCAGTCAAATCAGTGGAGCTACTAGACGCCTGCGATATCGTACAAGAATGGTCACATATTGCCTTGTTAGGGTTCCGTACCTCAAAAGGAAAAAACGGAACTCTTTATAGGATCACTTTGTTGTCCATCCGTCCGTCTGTCAAGACCGTTTTTCTCAGGAATGCGTGGAGGTATCAAATTGAAATACATATCTAATACTCATGTCTACTGTCCCTTGGAGCTGTGAAAAAAATCAAATTTTTAAGCCAAAGCAATCAAAAGATACACCCGTTAATGCCGCAAATTTTCGAAAATCGCACGGAAATCAACACTTACAGGTTACTTCCCGTGAACTTAGAATCTTGAAATTTGGTACGAAGTAACGTCTTATAGTACAGATAAAGATAAAAATTGCGAAAACCGTAAATTTTTAGTTACATCATATAAATAAAAATATTTTTAAAATTTTTAAAGTTACTACCTCTTTTCTCATGAACGCGTAGTGGTATTAAATTGAGTTTGTACGGAACCCTCGGTAGGCAAGTCCGACTCGTACTTGGCCGGGTTTAATAACCTTATAACACGGTAATATTATATCAGTATTCTATCTTCATACAAACGGTCGGAAAGCGAATCATACCTACGCCATCGAGTTCGCGGGACTCTCGATGGACACCCAGTCGCGAATGCGCCGTAGCGACGACCGATCATTGGGAATTGTTTTTTACGCAGTTAGTCGTGCTTAAACGTGCGATTTGTATTGTAAATATTTGATTGCATTAAGTAGATACCTACACAATAAATAAGGCAAAGAACAAACGACGATATTGTGCTGTTTTTGATTGCTTGAACTCTTCAATAACGCACCCAGAGATATCATTTCTTAAATTACCTGAAATATTGGAAAGGTAAGACTAGAATATTTTTTATATTCCTATCTACTAGTACGTAATTTGTTTTTATTATTTAGGTATTTCGATTTTTCCATCGAGCAAAATATCTGGAATAATATATTAATAAGTGGATAGGGTGAAAAAGAGACAAACGAGTAATCTAAAATGCGATTCAAATAAGAATAGGAAAGCCAATGACCTCTATCTGTCAAATGTCGCTTGAAAAGTACGGTTTGCAAAAAAAACTTGGAATCCTTTTTTAGCACTCTGCTAATTCAAGAATAAAAACCAAACATTTGTACACAAACAATAACAAATATTGATAATTAATATCGGTTGATATTTTTTTTCACTTATTGAGCTTTGGCCATGAATAGTTG